TGATAAAGACTCTACATACAATAAGACACGTTTTCTCGGGACCCCCGGTCACACTCTAGGACGACGCCTACCAGTGTCTGTGTGATAAAGACTCTACACACAATAAGACTTATGTCTTATGTTGGATCTCATATGGTCAGTCTGTGACCTTGTTACACCATTACAGCTTCAACTATACACAGACTGGTACGTGGCATTAAGTGACACTATGAAGCTGGGAATCAGGATGGATACTGAGCATGCACCATTGTATCGATTCTTGTGATTTATTAATATTCAGTAATATAATGTGATGTTTAAATGTGACGTTTACACATGTCCTCACTCAGTGAAAATCTGACCCGTGATGTTCCGGGGTAGAATAGGTCTTCAGCAACCCATGCTTGCCATAAAAGGTGACTAATCTTGCCGTAAGCGGCGACTAACGGGATCGAGTGGTCAGGCTTGCTGACTTGGTTGATGCATGTCATCGAATCCCAAAAGCTTTGAGTTGCGTCCCTTAGGCACGCCAGAAACCTATGATTGTGGGTTCGAATCACGGTTCACCCCGATTATGTTTCTTGGTTTGTCACCACCATACCCGTGCTCGTGGGTTTCACCAAAGTGGCAAACGTTTCAGACCTGCATCACTTCGGGCTTTCCTCCAACATTAAGCTGACACGCCGCTATATAATTGGAATACTGTTAAAAGCGGCGTTAAACCCAACTCACTCACTCACTCACTCATTGTCTTACCACAACAAGAAATGTTGAAATCGTCCACAAAAAGTGAACCATCAACGCTATCGATGCTGACAAATGTGACTGATAGTATGCTGCCTTGAGGGACGCCATGATCTGGATCGTAGTGGTAGATCCTGACCACACCATCCCGTTTGACGGGTGGAATATGTGAGTGTGTGCCTTGACTAGCTCAATAGGAGCCCAACACAAACACAAACGGTGGGTAGAATGGGAACAGTTCATGCATTAACACAACAGACAGAACCCACTATCTACGGCCGTGGGTGTAGTCGTACAGCGAGGCATGCAGATTCGATGAGTGTCACTGGTGTCACTGCACGGAAATTTTTTGGTATGTGCTGTATGATAAACCTAAATTTGGTGTAGGCTCGGGAAGTAACAACTTCCTCAGTTATATTTATAGCGACTTCAGTCTACTTCTCCCCTTTGCGCATAACTGTGTATACTCTTTAAAAAAAGTAGGGGGTCGTGAAATATATAATGATATTACCAAGTATTAGAAGGAAGAAAAGACGGACACACAGAAATACAGGCAGAAAGTTTTATTCAGTATGAAATTACAAAACAAAAGCTCGATAATGATATAAAAGCATGGTCATGCAGGCGCATTTTAATCAAATTTACAATCGGTTGTTTCTTTTTATATTTACATGACATAGGAATAGACTGACATATCTGATAAAATCAATGTTCTTACTTTGATAGAAATACATCATATATTGTAAATTGTTGGATATTTAATGAAATATTTTTAAATGAACTTGTTTCTCAATTCAGAGTAGAAGTGACATACACAGACAACGTGCAACTCGTTTATGTCTATAAAGCGTAACACCAAAAACACGTACAATAATAGGGAGATGTGTGCGTCAATGTCATTCTGACCACACTGGATGTATTATACTAGTCACTGGAGGAGGAGTGAGACAGTCTCCCTCACATTACCATTGGGAGACTCATACGCAGTATGCCTTGTCGAGTAAATGAAAGTTTGACAAATTAAGCAGCATTAAGCACAACTGATAAAAAAAAACACTGGTGGTTATAACTTTCATACTCACTATCCGGTTGTAATGTGTTCCTCATTCGTTCATTATACAGCTATTACAGCACACAGCTATTATTAGAAACTAACACCTCTTACAATATTAGAGGGGCGGTGGGGTAACCAAGTGGTTAAAGCATTTGCTCTTCACGCCGAATACCCACCTCACTCAGTCGCTACATTTTTGGAAATTTTATTTCCGTCACACACACACGCACGAACGCACGCACGCAGGCACGCGCGCACTCTCTCTCACACACACACACACACACACACACACACACACACACACACACACACACACACACACACACACACACACACACACACACACACACACACACACACACACACACACACACACACACACACACACACACACACACACACACATTCACACACTCACACACACTCACACACTCACACACTCACACACACACACTGCTCCGGATACTTTGACTCTTTAGCCTCGTGCTATGACCTCCGAGGTAGCTATATCAGATCCAGGTAGACCAAATATATGGATGCTTGAGATATATCTGCATGTTTCAGGTCACGTGATGTATTTATATAACGTCATTAAACTAAAGACTTGGGGTAACGCTTCCACGCTCACATTGATGTGGTTCTTGGTTCAGTTGTGTACGCATGCGCCAGGTCACGTGATATGTCTGAACGATGGACCGACCTCAGCTCCTCATAATCGTTCCTGGCTGGTTGTCCCCCTGCAGTGAGCGCATCATACATCGCTGCTTCATCCACGACGGCATATTCTCGAGCATCAATGGCGTCTGCTGACACATGCGTGCACTGGACAGGCGTGACGTACTGCTGAAACCTGCAAGTTTACTGCTTGGATAGAGTGAGTGAGTTGGGTTTAACGCCAATTTTAACAGTATTACAACTATATCGGGGCGTTTCGGCTTAATGTTGGAGGAAAACTTGAAGCGATACAGGTCTCAGACGTTGACCACTCCGGGGACACCATCGAGCACGGGTACGGTGCTGACAAACCTAGAAACAAAATCGGAGCGAAGCGGGATTCGAACCAACACTTATAGGTTTCTGGCGTGTCCAAGGGACGCAACTCTGCACAGCGAGTCGCGGCACGTCAGACGACTCGGCCACCCGGGCCCCCGCTTGGTTAGAATGCTCATGCCTACTTGAATGTAAAATGACATTGCGTGCGTTCACGACACTTGTTATTGGGGCGAGAGGGTATCCTTGTGATTAAAGAGTTCACAAGTGGCACTGAAGGCCCGGGTTCTATCCCCACATGGGCACAATGTGTGGTCCCATTTCTGGCGTGATGGTGTTGACATATTGCCTAGAACCATATTCAGTCACTATAATTGAAAAATATATATTTCTTGAGGAGAAACAATTCGGACCGATATTTGTAAACTAGTTTATCCATGAAGATACACTACGTAAAGATAAATCATGAACAAATACATGAATTAGTGCGAGTCCCAAGTTTTGTGAACAACATGGAGCAAAACAAGACAGTTTATAGCATGACTGTTCTTATTCTGATATATTGTATTTCACTTTTACAAAAGCATACCAATTTTACATGGAGGGATGTCCATGCAAAATTATGTTTTACTGAATAAGATCTGTTCTGAACTACATGCATCTCATTCAGATCTGTGATCAGACATATGTGTTATCTCGATTTGATAACTTCATTATGTGTAACGGATGAATGATAACACTGGAGTTCCCCAATGTGGAAGGTGTTGTTGTATACAGTAATCTGCAGGAGTCCAGTGACATTACGTCGAGATATATGATATCGAATCTGGGCCATTTAGACCAGTGGTTGACATCATGATCACCACATCATCAAGGTGTGACGAGACAGGCATTCACGACTGACTGACAGATCGCCCCATTGGCCCTCATTCAAATAGTAAACTCTTATGAAAGGCATACCACGATGACTAGTTTGTGTTACTATTGCTCACTCACTCACTCACTCACTCACTCACTCAATCACTCACTCACTCACTCACTCACTCACCTGTTTCGTCTCAAGCGTTGACGGTACTTGCAGCACACAACAAGGACGGTCACAAGGACGATCATCAGGATCAAAACAAGGACGATCATCACGATGAAAAAGAAAGCTGTTGCGGACAGCCTTGCATATGTTCCCACTGTAACAACATCTGTACCAACCGAAAAAATACAACGTTAACCTGTGTACATGACTGAAGAGAGAAAACGGCTCATTCCAAACTCTGAACTTGTATGGTATATATATATGAAAAATAATTCAACACATTTGACAAGACCCGTGAAGATCCAGTGTGGAATAGGTTTTCACCAACTATGCTTGCCATAAAGAGCGACCACCTTGTCGTAAGAGGCGACTAACGTATCGAGTGGTCAGGCTCACTGACTTGGTTGATGCATGTCATCGTATCCCTATTGTGTAGATCTATGCTCATGGTTTAAATCACTCGATTATTTACAGACCGCCATCATATAGCTGGAATGTTGCTGAGAGCGGCGTTAAACAACAAACAAACAAACATGACAAACGCGGTAGGAATAGGGTACCCATCCGCCAATGGATCAGTGTGTTCTCGAATGTCATGCTCAGTGGAGTCTTGAAAATAGAAACTATCAACCATGTCATACGGCAATACCAATCCGATTCACAATCTGTCCAGTTGTAGGAGTCTACACATCCAAACATCCCGACAACAATGTTCAGGGAGTTTATACATAAAAAATAGTTTTCACTACTCAACGTTTCAGAAAGACAATGACACATTTAGGGTATCACACGACCACTATCACTTCAGTATTTTTGCACGGAATTCAGCTTTTACACTCACTCACTGTTGATATAACATGATATGCCACGTATGAAGATAATATACATGGTACCATCAATCATAAATTGACATGAACACACGTTCTTGATCTTAATAATTATTGTTGTCAACCATTTCATTTGTAAGTCATACCTTGTAAATTTGTTTCCTAAGAAAGACACCTTCTGTCACAAATCAACATTACCGAGAATATATCCTGTAAACAGACTTCCGTGGAGCGGCAACTTCTCTCAGTAGGTTTCAGGAATACCGACACATTAAGCAACTTTACCGAGAGTATAATCTACAAGTTCTGATCGCCACATGAATATCGATCATATGAATAGTAATGCTATTAAAACTTTTTGTAAAACTATACCTACCATCACAGTCAGTCCCGTAGTAGGAGTCCACACATCCAGACACACAGGAGGAGCCCAGCTGACAATATCCTCCATCACAACCACCTGGACATGCTGCACAGCCACCTCCTGGACTGTCACATGGTATGTTGCAACCACTGCCATGATACCCTGGCAGACAGCCCTCAGTGCAGTTAGAACTACCATAGCTTGAGGTCACACATGTGTTATTCCTACAGTTCTTGCTGCAGGTAAAGCTGCATTTACGTCCGTAATACCCAGTTTGACACACATAGAGGCAATCCCCGGACTCTCTGTCACAGTCTGAACAGTGATAGGTTTCCTTGCATGGAGTGGCTGAAAGTTATAGTACAGGTATTATTTAATTGTTATTTTTGAATATGAACATGAGTATGTCCTTAAACAAAAAGAGAAAATGCAGTCGATGCCTTGATGCCCTGGCATACAACACTCAGTTCAGTACCCTCAAAGCCAGTACTTTATTTGTTCTTACAGTCATCACTGGAAACTGAACTGCACATCTGATCATAATACCAAGTGTCACACTCAGTGAGGCATTGTCTCGTTGTGTTGTCACAGTCCGATGTCAAATGTGCTTTTGTACTATTTTGTAACCGGCACCTCATTGATTAATTCCTATGTCTTTGTCAAGTTGTAATATCAAAAGAAAACATTCATATAATGGTACCGGTGACCTGTCGTCCAAGGCATAGCCCAGAGGCTTCACCGAAAACTATGACAGTTGAACCCAGGTGTATATTTCTAGTTTTGACAGTACCATACTCATGCTCAAAGTTTTCACCAAAGTGATGGGTGTATCCACATCAAGCTGACACGCCGTGATATAACTGAAATATTGTTCAGATCAACATTAAAACAAATTCGCTAACTTTTAAGAACATGCAAGTCCTGATTATCATGCATCGATCCAAGTCAGCGAGCCTGAACACCCCATCCCGTTAGTCGCCTCTTATGACAAGCATAGTCGCCTTTTATGGCAAATATGGGTTGATGAAGGCCGGATCTTCACGGGTCCACAGGAATGACTTACATGGTTCAAGATAAGTAATATTATTTCAACTTGACGTTTCTCTACTCGTACATTTATCATGCTAGTGATACGTCACAGTGAAAATTAAAGCACTGACACCCATAGGGCAATTACCGACTTTGAAAATGTTATACGTAGTACAGAGAGCCACACACAAACATATGCATGCACATCGCTATATAAGTGAAAACAATCTTGAACATAATCCGCATTTTACGTCACCTCATACGACACTTCTGTCGCCATTAATATCACAATGCTAAAGTATGGATATTACCAAATAGTAAGACCAGGTCACCATTATTAGCAATTTGAAAGTTGTATACCTAGTACACAGAGCCACACACAAACATATGCATGCACATCACGATATAAGTTAAATAAATCTTGAACATAATCCGCATTTTATATAGAATGCAATAAATACTTCAGCTTTCCAATAGTCGACTTTCCCTTCATGTCGAGCAATTCTCCTGCAGCTCCAGCCTCTGGTGGTTGCATTTCACAACTTTTGAGATACAATCGAGCATAATCATTCTACCAAGATATCTAAAAGCGTCATACGACTCTTGCTTAGAAGTTGATTGATCAAGGTTACAACATTCAATGCCCAAGTAAACCTTTAAAAACAGATTTCAGGAGGACAAGTGGAAGATATTTTCAAATTTGACGCAACAGTGACAAAATGATGTCCAATACAATTCCCTATTTTGACTTGTATCATATGTTCCCGATGTTTTCAGGTGAACAATTTACTTGCCTTTTCATGTGTTTGTGACGAGTGCTACTGGTGGGGCAGGATACGATCACCTATTCGCGAACACGTGGTATAATCACTGTGTGATAGTAATTCATAAACACATGGTCATGACAAAGTCAGAATCGTACAACCGACTCTTCTCGAGAAGACATTAATATTGAATATGGAAAGGGTTTCGTCACTTTCATTTACCTTCAGTAGCAATTACCAAGCATGCTATCCACATCATCACCGAGGCAGCCATTGTGTTGACTGAAACTGAATTGAAACAACAAATAAGTGATGAAAAACATTTCCCGTTGACATACACAATGAAACAAGGCTATGAAGAACATGACAATAAGAGTTTGAAAGAAGTGGAAGTATGTCAGCATTATAGTTTTCAATTGAATTCTGCATTATATTGTCATACAGCTACTTTTACGTGTATACGTTTACAAACTGTCCGTCCTTTGAGACGCTGTCCTACATTTGTTATAAAGTTGCTGACTGACGCCCAAAGCGACATGCCACCTGTCATGCATGTAAGTCTCAGCTTCATTAGAGATAGATGAGCATAAATGTCAATCAGGTAAAGTCAATCTATCCATGTCCATTCAAATGAAATTGTATAATATCCATGGCATGTATTGTCCAATCAGAATGTTGTACGTTCTTCTGTAAATGTATTCATCGTGATGTAAGCAACTGTATGCTTGTACTTATACAAGGAAGAGACACGACCGGAGTGGCGGACGACTCACGGGACTCGGTCTCAGGACCCCCGGTCACACTCTAGAACGACGCCTACCAGTGTCCGTGTGATAAAGAATCTACATACAATAAGACACGCTGTCTCGGGACCCCCGGTCACACTCTAGGACGACCCCCACCAGTGTCCGTGTGATAAAGACTCTACATACAATAAGACACGCTGTCTCGGGACCCCCGGTCACACTCTAGGACGACGCCTATCAGTGTCCGTGTGATAAAGACTCTACATACAATAAGACACGCTGTCTCGGGACCCCCGGTCACACTCTAGGACGACACCCACCATTGTCCGTGTGATAAAGACTCTACATACAATAAGACACGCTGTCTCCGGACCCCCGGTCACACTCTAGGACGACGCCTACCAGTGTCCGTGTGATAAAGACTCTACATACAATAAGACACGCTGTCTCGGGACCCCCGGTCACACTCTAGGACGACCCCCACCAGTGTCCGTGTGATAAAGACTCTACATACAATAAGACACGCTGTCTCGGGACCCCCGGTCACACTCTAGGACGACCCCCACCAGTGTCCGTGTGATAAAGACTCTACATACAATAAGACACGCTGTCTCGGGACCCCCGGTCACACTCTAGGACGACGCCTACCAGTGTCCGTGTGATAAATACTCTACATACAATAAGACACGCTGTCTCGGGACCCCCGGTCACACTCTAGGACGACGCCTACCAGTGTCCGTGTGATAAAGACTCTACATACAATAAGACACGCCGTCTCCGGACCCCCGGTCACACTCTAGGACGACGCCTACCAGTGTCCGTGTGATAAAGACTCTACATACAATAAGACTTATTACTTATGTTGGATCTCATAATGTCAGCCTTTGACCTGGTTACACCATTACAGCTTCAACTATACACAGACTGGTACGTGGCATTAAGTGACACTATGAAGCTGGGAATCAGGATGGATACTGAGCATGCATGCACCATTGTATCGATTCTAGTGATTTATTAATATTCAGTGATATAATGTGATGTTTAAATGTGACGTTTACATGATATACATTGGAAGCAAGCTCCAAATTGGTTGATGCATGTCATCGAATCCCAAAAGCGTGGATCGATGCTCATGATGTCAAACACTGGATTGTCTAGACCAGACTCGATTATTTACAGATCGCCATCATATAGCGGGAATATTGCTGAGTGTTGCGTTAAATAACAATCAATCAATCATGCAATCGATCAATGACGATTTATACCTCAAAGAACTCATGCAAAGTAGATACACCCGTAGATACTTACATTGATCGTCACCTGTATCACGCGTGTGTCAGTGAGGGTTGGTGATCCACGTTGTGTCAGACAGCTACCACTCTTCTTTCATACTCACGGAAGCTAAAGCCGTAGTAATTGTAGTATACCCTCTACCCCCACCCCCCACCCTCCCAGCCCATGTTATCTTACAATTGAATACTATCACCTTCAGGAGCTCTGAAACGTCCTACAAAGAGTAAAAAAAAGAAGTTATTATCAATAAAAAAATTCTGTCGTGTATTCAAAACCCTTGCCCCGTTCATAAGAAATATCTGCTAAAAAATAATACCACACATATATTAACCGAAAGAAGTATCTAGGCATACAGGATTGTTGTTGTATCCAGTTACACAGCGTTGTCGCTGTACCAAGTATCCTTGGTTGTCACTGTATCTGGGTATACTGGATTGTCACTGTATCTAGGTATACTGGACTGTCACTGTATCTAGGTATACTGGATTGTCACTGTATCTAGGTATACTGGACTGTCACTGTATCTAGGTACACTGGATTGTCACTGTATCTGGGTATACTGGATTGTCACTGTATCTAGGTATACTGGACTGTCACTGTATCTAGGTATACTGGATTGTCACTGTATCTAGGTATACTGGATTGTCGCTGTATCTAGGTATACTGGATTGTCACTGTATCTGGGTATACTGGATTGTCGCTGTATCTAGGTATACTGGACTGTCACTGTATCTAGGTATACTGGATTGTCACTGTATCTAGGTATACTGGATTGTCACTGTATCTAGGTATACTGGATTGTCACTGTATCTAGGTATACTAGATTGTCACTGTATCTAGGTATACTGGATTGTCACTGTATCTGGGTATACTGGACTGTCACTGTAACTGCGTATGCTGGATTATCACTGTATCTAGGTATACTAGATTGTCACTGTATCTAGGTATACTGGATTGTCACTGTATCTGGGTATACTGGATTGTCACTGTATCTGGGTATACTGGATTGTCACTGTATCTGGGTATACTGGATTGTCACTGTATCTAGGTATACTGGATTGTCACTGTATCTGGGTATACTGGATTGTCACTGTATCTGGGTATACTGGGTTGTCACTGTATCTAAGTATACTGGATTGTCACTGTATCTGGGTATACTGGGTTGTCACTGTATCTAGTATACTAGATTATCACTGTATCTGGGTATACTGGATTGTCACTGTATCTAGGTATACTGGATTGTCACTGTATCTGGGTATACTAGATTATCACTGTATCTGGGTATACTGGATTGTCACTGTATCTAGGTATACTGGATTGTCACTGTATCTGGGTATACTGGATTGTCACTGTATCTGGGTATACTGGGTTGTCACTGTATCTAGGTATACTGGATTGTCACTGTATCTGGGTATACTGGGTTGTCACTGTATCTAGTATACTAGATTATCACTGTATCTGGGTATACTGGATTGTCACTGAATCTAGGTATACTGGATTGTCACTGTATCTGGGTATACTGGATTGTCACTGTATCTGGGTATACTGGGTTGTCACTGTAACTGCGTATACTGGATTGTCAATGTATCTAGGTATACTAGATTGTCACTGTATCTGGGTATACTGGATTGGCACTGTATCTGGGTATACTGGGTTGTCACTGTAACTGCGTATGCTGGATTGTCGGTGTATCTAGGTATACTAGATTGACACTGTATCTGGGTATACTGGATTGTCACTGTATCTAGGTATACTGGATTGTCACTGTTACTGCGTATACTGGATTGTCACTGTATCTGGGTATACTGGGTTGTCACTGTAACTGCGTATACTGGATTGTCGCTGTATATAGGTATACTGGATTGTCACTGTAACTGCGTATACTGGATTGTCATTGTATCTGAGTAGTCTGGGTTGTTGGTGTATCTAGGTATACTGGATTGTCAATGTATCTATGTTCTGGATTGTCACTGTATCTAGGTATACTGGATTAGTGGTGTATCTGGGCATACTGGATTGTCGCTGTATCTAGGTATACTGGATTGTCACTGTATCTAGGTATATTGAATTGTCATTGTATCTAGGTATACTGGATTGTCAATGTATCTATGTTCTGGATTGACGGTGTATCTAGGTATTATGGATTGTTGGTGTATCTGGGTATACTGGATTGTCGCTGTGTCTAGGTATACTGGATTGGAATGTATCTAGGTACATTGGTTTGTCACTGTATCTATGTTCTGGATTGTTGGTGTATCTAGGTATACTGGATTGTTGGTGTATCTTGGTATACTGGATTGTCGCTGTATCTAGCTATACAAGATTGTCAGTGTATCTAGGTATAATGGATTGTCACTGTATCTGACTATACTGGATTGTCCGTGTATCTAGGTAACTTGACTGTCACTGCATCAATGTATACTGGATTTTCGGTGTATCCGAATATACCGGTTTGTTGGTGTATCTAGGTATTCTGGATTGTCGGTGTATTTCGGTATACTGGATTGTCAAAGTATCTATATTCTGTATCTAGGTATTCCAGATTGTCAGTGTATCTAGGTATGCAGGATTGTTGGTGTATCCAGGTATCCTAGATTGTCGGTGTATGTAGGTATACTGAATTGTCGCTGTATTTAGGTATACTGGATTGTCACTAGATCTGGGTATACTGGATTGTCACTGTATCTAGGTATACTGGATTGTCGCTGTATCTAGGTATACTTGATTTGCCACTGTATCTAGGTATACTGGATTGTCACTGCATTTAGGTATACTGGATTGTCACTGTATCTGGGTATATTGGATTGTCGCTGTATCTAGGTATACTGGATTGTCACAGTATCTGGGTATGCTGGATTGTCGGTGCTTCTTGGTATACTGGATTGTCACTGTATCTAGGTATACTGGATTGTCGGTGTTAACTGGTATACTGCATTGTCGGCGTATCTAGATATACTGGATTGTCACTGTATCTTGGTATACAGGATTATCACTGTATTTAGGTATACTGGATTGTCACTGTATCTGGGTATATTGGATTGTCGCTGTGTCTAGGTATTCTGGATTGTCACAGTATCTGCGTATGCTGGATTGTCGGTGCTTCTTGGTATACTGGATTGTCACTCTATCTAGGTATATTGGATTGTCGGTGTTTCTTGGTATACTGGATTGTCGGTGTATCTAGGTATACTGTTTTGTTGATGTATCTAGGTATACAGGATTGTCGCTGTATCTAGATATACTGGATTGTTGATGGATCTAGGTATGCTGGATTTTTTATGTATCTAGGTATACTGGATTGTTAATGTATATAGGTACACTGGATTGTCGCTGTATCTAGGTAAACTGGTTTGTTGATGTATCTAGGTATACTAGATTGTTGATGTATCTAGGTACACGGGATTCTTTATGTATCTAGGTATACTGGACTGTTGATGTATCTAGGTATACTGGATTGTTGATTTATCTAGATATACTGGATTGGCACTGTATCTAGGTATACTGGATTGTTGATGTATCCAGGTACACTGGAATGTCACTGTATCTAGGTATACTGGATTGTTGATGTATCTAGGTACACTCAATTGTTGCTGTATCTAGGTATACTGGATTGTCGGTGTATCTAGGTATTCTGGATTGTTGGTGTATCTAGGTATACCGGATTGTCGGTGAATCTAGGTATTCTGGATTGTTGGTGTATCTAGGTATACTGGATTCACGGTGTGTCTCTGTATACTGGATTGTCGGTGTATCTAGGTATACTGGATTGTTGGTGTATCTAGGTATACTGGATTCACGGTGTGTCTCTGTATACTGGATTGTCGGTGAATCTAGGTATACTGGATTGTTGGTGTATCTGGGTATACTGGATTCACGGTGTGTCTCTGTATACTGGATTGTCGGTGTATCTAGGTATACTGAATTGTTGATGGATCTTGGTATACTTGATTGTCGGTGTATCTCGGTATACTGGATTGTCGCTGTATCTAGGTATACTGGATTGTGGCTGTATCTTGGTATACTGGATTGTCGCTGTATCTAGGTATATCGAATTATCACTTTATCTAGGTATACAGGATTATTGATGTATCTAGGTATACTGGATTGTTGATGAATCTGGGTAAACTGGATTATCGGTGTATCTAGGTATACTGGATTGTTGATGTATCTAGATATACTGGATTGTTGATTTATCTAGGTATACTGGATTGTCACTGTATCTGGGTATACTGGATTGTCGCTGTATCTGGGTATACTGGATTGTCGCTGTTTCTAGGTATACTGGATTGTCGCTGTATCTAGGTATACTGGATTGCGTATGTATCTAGGTAAATTGGATCGTTGATATATCTAGGTATACTGGCTTGTCGGTGTATCTAGGTATACTGGATTGTCCCTGTATCTAGGTATACTGGATCGTCACTGTATCTAGGTATACTGGATTGTTGCTGTATCTAGGTATTCTGGATTGTCGCTGTATCTAGGTATACTGGATTGTCGCTGTATCTAGGTATACTGGATTGTGGCTGTATCTAGGTATACTGGATTGTCACTGTATCTGGGTATACTGGATTGTCGCTGTATCTGGGTATACTGGATTGTCGCTGTTTCTAGGTATACTGGATTGTCGCTGTATCTAGGTATACTGGATTGTGGCTGTATCTAGGTATACTGGATTGCGTATGTTTCTAGGTATACTGGATCGTTTATATATCTAGGTATACTGGCTTGTCGGTGTATCTAGGTATACTGGATTGTCACTGTATCTAGGTATACTGGATCGTCACTGTATCTAGGTATACTGGATTGTTGCTGTATCTAGGTATTCTGGATTGTCGCTGTATCTAGGTATACTGGATTGTCGCTGTATCTAGGTATACTGGATTGTGGCTGTATCTAGGTATACTGGATTGTCACTGTATCTGGGTATACTGGATTGTCGCTGTATATGGGTATACTGGATTGTCGCTGTTTCTAGGTATACTGGATTGTCGCTGTATCTAGGTATACTGGATTGTCGCTGTATCTAGGTATACTGGATTGTCGCTGTATCTAGGTATACTGGATTGTCGCTGTATCTGGGTATACTGGATTGTC